CCTTTTTTTTTTCTTTTTTTCTTGTCCTTCCTGAGCCGAGGGTCTATTGGAAACAGCCTCTCTACCTGCATTAGGTAGGGGTAAGGTCTGCGTACAAACTACCCTCCCCAGACCCCATCTGTTGGGACCAAACTGGGTTTGTTGTTGTTGTTGTTGTTACTTTCTCGTCCTGGTTAAGCCTTTGTTTGGAGCATTGTTGGTGCACGGGCAAGATTCCATAGAGTCAGTCGGGTGGGATTTTGTTTTTGGTCTGAGTTTATTGTGGTAGCTTATGTTTTCTTTCAGGGAGCATACATATGTGAGTAGCTTTGTCAGTCCTTTAGTGAACTAGAGGTGTCTTGCATCTAGGCTTTGGGAAGTTTGTCTCTGGAAAATAATATATTATCTTATTCTGTGGATCTTCTATATTTAGGTTAGAATGGGGTTTTACTTAATTACAAAAAGCGTATATTATGTTAGGTCAGTTAAACAAACACATCCACTTACCTGTTTTCATCTCTTCTGAGGTGGAGAGCAGTTTTTTAGCTGTTTCAGAGTACCGTTTTTCAAATTTTCACTGTTACCTTTTTTCTAAGTTGTACAGGGTTTTATTTCACCAGCAGTTGAATTTTTTATGAAGAATGTAGACATGACTACTTTGAGCTATGGTTGTTGGAATACAGGTCACTTTGAGGCAATTGATTTTGGTGACCTGGATGTCTACTGAAATGTATTGGAAAGTTTAACTGGACTACTTGCAGTGAAACTTTAGGCATTAGTTATTATCCATTAAATGATTATTGGACTTGCATTAATCACACAAGAAAACTTCTGGTTCTGATATTGACATACTAACTTGCTCTGTGGATTGCTATACCAAATGAATGACATATTATCTTGGTTATAAAAGTTAATGTGTGTGACGTACGATGTGTGGAGATTTTGGTTGCAAAAACTTTCTCAGCCACTTTTCTTAGACTGGTATTGCATGATATGATCTGCAGCATTTTGGAGAGGCATCAAAATGTGTCTGATACATGCCTGATATTCCAAAAATGTGAACAAACTAGCGATTTCCTATTAATCTAGCTCCTCATTCATCTTCCATTATTTTTTCTTAACTTGCTTGTGGTAAAGTTTATCAAAACGAAAAAAGAAACAAACTCTGGCATATGGTAGTCGTTTCTGTCTTTTAAATTTCTTTCAGTTTTTTTTGAAGAGCTTCTTCAAGGTTTAGACTTGTATTTTCCCTACTGTGACAGATTTCTCCTGAGGATATTCAGTGGGAGGGCGAAGAACCTGGAATTTCTCATCATGGAAATTATGGTGGATCAGGTCATGTCATGACTAGACCTGCTGGACATGATAGTGCTCCAGGTGCAGGGAGAGGTAGGGGGTTGACTAAAGCTCAATCCAGAAAAGATTTTCCAATATCACAGAATGGCATAGGAAAGAAAGGATCTGATGATATTCAGTTACTTCATACTGATACACTGATCAAAGAGGTAAGTGCTGCATTTGTTAACAGGCCACACATGTAGATCTTTCACTTTGTGCATTGATTCATTGACTAGTGAATGTGGTCAGGTGGAGAGGATTTTTGGCGCCGGCCATCCAGATCCTCTCGAGGTTGAGAAGGCAAAGAAAGTGCTGAAGGTTTGTGACACTCAGCTTTCCAATCACGTTAATACTTAATATCCTCATATTAATTGCACAACGATACCAAGTGTTTTTTTAAATGTGCAGGAGCACGAACAAGCACTTCTAGATGCCATTTCAAGACTTGGAGAGTTATCTGATGGTGAAAGTGGTATGACTTTGTGGAACTGATTTTTCATTTCTTTTTCATTTTAGGCATTGTCGTAAAATAATTTTGATTTGGGCAATCCCTATGACCTTTCCTAAGTCTGAAGTCCTATTTCTTGTGTCACTGCTTTTTCTGTGATGTTACACTTTGAATCTTTGTATTGTACAAGTAATAAATAGAAACATCGAATAATTAAGTATGACACCGTAAAAAACACTAGGTGATTTTTTTTCCTTCTCTCTAAGCCTTGGTCGGCCGAAGGTCTACCGGAAACAACCTCTCTACCCTCATCAGGTAGGGGTAAGGTCTGTGTACACACTACCCTCCCCAGACCTAACTTGTGGGATTTCGTTGGGTTTTTTTGTTGTTGTTGTTGTTGTTATTGTTGCTGTTCTTGTTGTTGTTCTTTAAGCCTTGGTCGCGTGAGTTACTTGGTGCTTGTGTCCTCATTTGTGAGATTTCGCTGGGTTTGTTGTTGTTCTCTAAGCGTTGGTTGCCCGAGTTACTTGGTGCTTGTGTTGGTGGGAGGTAATAGGTATCCGGTGGATTAGTTGAGGCGAGACCGGTGGATTAGTTGAGGCGCACACAAGCTGGCCTGGACATCTTAGATTTCTACAAAATAAAAAAAGTATGGAAGTGTCTTCCAATTCACTAAAATTCGTTAATAACTTTAAAGCTCTTGTGAAAAAGAAATAAACAAATAATTGCTAGAATGAAAGAAGTCATGGATGTTTTGGCATCTATGATGTTTCTAATTTGCATTAGAAAAAGTGAGGATCCTGATTTAATAGACTGACTGGACCACTCTACTCAAATGGCTAAGTAGAAATAATAGTCTTTATTAATGGTGACAATTTGAAGGTCTATGAGCATTAATTGGAGCATTAGCGGGGGAAGTCCAGAAAGAGAGTAATGATGGAAATAAGAGTTCTGGATTTAATGAGGAAACCTAAATTCTTGTGAAACTGATGGAGGTTGGCGTGCAGTTTAATACCCAGGTTAGGGGGTCGAATTGCTTTCACACCGAAGGTTGTGATGAGGCAAGGAGAGGCTAGGAGTAATGGAGCAACTGGCGGTTTGAAGGAACAGATGAATAGAGTCCATATGGAGCTTGCCCCAATTATTTCAGGCTTTCTTTTTAAACGGTTCGCAGTTAAAACCATGTTTTTCAATGGAAAAATATGTGTGAAGGTTTTTGGGTGCTTCTGTGAAAATGAGGCTGGAAACAAGCGAACACTCTCTGACCTAGTGTGACTTCTTATTCTGCGTTAATTTGGTTCCTACTTTTTCTGTTTCCAATAAAAAAATTGAAGACAACAAATAGAACTTTTTGTATCAGAATCCCATACGGATGTCCGAAAGTACTTTGCCTGTGCATAATTTATACCCAGAAATAATAATAAAAACGGAAGTACATCAATATGTTCTCTATCTCATACAGTGAAAGTACTGCCAGGAAGTACTACCAAAGCCAACATTCTGCCACTACCTATGCCAACATAGCAATTCAATGCTTTCGCTTCTTTGATTACATACCTAATGTCGATGTCACACAGTGTTGTGGAGAGCGTGAAGCGAGGAAAAGTGACAAGCCCCGTTTTGCTTAAAGCGTGAAGCGAGAAGCGAAGCGCTCGCTTTTTTGAAGTGAAGGGGAATTAAAAAAAAAAACTAAAATAAATACTGCATAGACAACACATGTAACTGGAAGCAAATGTTAAATACCTCAATGTAAAAACTAAAGAGTAGCATCAATGAAAGCACAAAAGATTGGTGCCATTAAAAGAACAACTTAAGAATCTGTAAAAAAAAAAATGGCAGTAAGAACAAAAGATGAAGAACTGAAGAAAAAAAAAATGGTAGCATTTCAAGGGCTAAAACGAAAATAACAAGAAGAAGAAAAAGAGAATGAGAAAAAGAAGAAGAACTGAAGGAACAAAAATTTTGGCAGCATTTCAGTGCTTAAAGAAAAAAAAAATGGTAGCATTTCAAGGGCTAAAACGAAAATAACAAGAAGAAGAAAAAGAGAATGAGAAAAAGAAGAAGAACTGAAGGAACAAAAATTTTGGCAGCATTTCACTGCTATTTTAAGCACTGAAATGAGAAGAAGAAAACATACCCGAGCTTGAACTTAAAGAAAGTGCTGAAAATTGAAACCCTAGTCGCTGCTTGCTGAATTTGTAAAAAATGTCTGAGCTTTTTTATTTTTTCATTTAAGTACCGTTGGCAGTATCACTTAAAAGACATAAGCGAGCACTTCAGTCGCTTCACGCTTCGCTAGCGCTTCACGCTTTTTGGCAGAAACGGCCGCTTCCAAACACCTATTACGCTTCACCCAACAAAAGCGACACACTGGCTGCTACGCTTCGCGCTTAAAGCGCTGACGCGAGCGCTTTTCACAACACTGGTGTCGCATAGCCCACGAATACCACTTGGTTGTAGTGGACCTTTGGCCTTAAATGTACAAAACCCAGCCACCACATAGGAAAATAACTATGCCTCAATTCCAAACAAGTTGGGGATAGCTTATTAACTCACTTACCATGTTTCCCATTTAAATTCATCTTAGTCTCAGGCCACCCCACACAAAAACAACATATCCGGTATAATCCTACAAGTGGGGTCTGGGGAGGGTAGTGTGTACGCTGACCTTACCCCTACCTTGAGGGTAGGGAGGCTGTTAATGATAGACCCCCAGACCACCCCATACAAAAAGAATGAATAAGTAAATAGAAAAGGGATAAATCAAGAAGTAAATGCATGTAAAAGGTGAAATAAACTGTTGTTGAATTTGTTTTTTGTTTTTTTCTTGTGGTGATAGCGACACACCTTGACTATTTCATCGGTGTGCCTGCAACCTCCCACCAGTATAAGTACCGAATAACTCCGCTCACCAAGGTTTATGCAGAATGGAACAAATCACTGATACCTTTCTGAAAAAACAAGAAAAGAAATCACCTAGTGTTTTTTGTCTCTGCTGGAATTTGAAACAGAATCTCCAAAGTTTGCATCAACTTCGTTGACCACTAGACCACACCCTTCGATATGGTAAAATTAGAATGTTCTCCAGGGTTTACTGGATTTACAAATGATAATGATTCTGATGAGTGAACATTTCGTCTACATGAAAAAGGTGATTTGTGGAAGTGAAAGTAAAAAGATTTTTTTTTGGGTGTGGGGGGGGGGGGGGGGGGTCGGGGCCGTACGGGTGGGCGTGGGAGGTGTCTGTACCATGTTGAATGTAGGCTGAATACATAGATGGCCCCTTAAACTTGCAAGAATTTTCCATTTAGACACCTTAATTAAAGGTGTTACCTATTGAGCACTTAAAAGTGTATTGAAAGTGTCTATTGAACACATTTTTTTCTGTCAGCCCAAACACTTAAATGTGTGAGATTCACGCATTAACTTTAAAAATGTAACCAATGAAATTTAGACACATCAGAAGAAGAAAAAAAATCCGTGTCAGTTGAACCCCTTCCTCCCCTCCCTTCAGCCATTGACCACTAATTTCTCTCCCTCATTTTCTAAGTTAGAATAACATATTCGGTAGTTTCCCATAGTCTTAATTGGGGCCGACTCGTATAATTCAGAAGACCTTATTAATTTCTTTCTCTCATTTTCTATTCTCTGCTCCATTGCGTTTCTCCCCCACAAAACCTGTTCTCATCAGTCTCAAGTATAGAACTTCACCGGAGTTCGACTGGAAAACATTCATCCGGTGACCTCTCCATCTTCTTGCTCATATTCATGTCATGTCTTTTGATTTTTTCTTAAGGTTTTTTCTGTTTGTAATGTATCGCGGAATATATGGATGGAACTATGGGATACTCGTTCGTGGCCAGTTGTTTACCGCTGATGGTGTTGGCTCCTGGGTTAGTTCTGGGGAAAGTCCAAGCAATGTTTTTTTAGAAATTTTCTAGTAAATGTCAAAATATGTACCAAGACAATTATATTTTCTTCTATCTATATTAATGTGTTTCTCTGCTATCTTCGGACTGGCATCTTTGTCAAGCTGCTTTAGAACCAGCGGCACACCGATCGCCAAATTTTCTCCCCTCTCAGCTGTGAAGTTGGAGATGATTAATAAAAATGGTGATGGTGGATGTTGTCTCTGGTGGACTATGGCAAGAACAAAAATTCAATGTTCGCCATTTGAAGTTGATGGCAAGGATGATATTTCCTGACCTCAAGATGGAGCTGGAGCTTGGGAGGTGAGAGGTTGAAAATTACCATCCATTCACGCGCTCAGCTTTTGGTGTGAAGCAAACACCATGCCATGTCAGCAAGTTGTGTGTGATAGACACACTGATGAAGGAGTTCAGGTGCTCGATTGGAACAAGGCATAGTATAAGTGTCTAAATGAAAAATATGGGCAAGTTTAAGGGGCTGCATATGTATTAAGCCTAGAATGTATTTCACCATCAGTGTTCTTGTCAGCGGCAGTGAAGCATGTAATCTCCAGTGTTGTATTTTTACAGACCTACAAAAACAAACTGAAACATCCCATGTATTTGACTAGATGAGAAACCACTAATAACGATGGTAATAACAGTAATGTCAATAATAAATATTAATATGATAAATCAAAAACAATTGTACTGCTTTTATGTCATAGTATCTGATATTGTTCGAGTTGTTTGTGGAGCACTGTTATAAACTTCTAAGGCCCTTCATCAGCTTTCTATTCGTTCAAATTCTTTCTTTCCTGTTATTCAGCATGTGTTTATACTGTTGCAGATGAACGCCGTTTCATGCATGGACAAGCAATGGAACGGGAGTGACAGGAATATCATGGTGGTGAGTAGTACAGAGCAGCTGGGTTATCGAGCCACCTAAAATAACAGCCACATAGAGGAAGGCGAGATGTGTAAAACATTGTTTCCAATGTTGGTGCGACAGAATGATTTTAGGTCTGTTGTATACTGCCAGCTTCAAGAATCGCTTGGCTAACATTAATTTATTGTAGTCTAGTTCTTTGAATAGACACCAATTTGTAGTCAGGAATGATTTATTTCCCATAGTTACAGGTTAGCGCTCTTGTAAAATTAATCATCTTAGCAATTTTACATGTTATGGTGTAAAAAAATTTTGACAGCTAGCACTTGGATTATGACATCCCATTTTTCTTGTGCGGTTGTTATTCCTATTTCGTTCGTAGTTTTGGCAGTGAAGTGGCTCGTATAGCAAGGTGTGTTTTAGCATCAGTACTGCTTGAAGAATATAGCCTGAAATTGCTTCTCACTCCTTGTCCGTCCAAATCTTTGTTGTCTGTCGCTAAAATGTGGACGTCTCATTAAAATGAGAAATGATGGTTATTAAGGAGTCGCTACTTAAACAAATGGAATTACTTGAAAGCCATATCTAAATACAGAAACAACTTTAGGTGAATGCAGTAAATAAGACTTGGCCGACTTCTTTCCACTTCCAGCGTAATTTAAATGTGATTCCTTAGAAGTCTCGGTATTTGGTAGGGCGTTTGGCTAAGCTTATAAGCTGGTCAAATATGCTTATAAGCATTTTTAGCTTATCTACGTGCTCGACTTATAAGTCAAAGTAAACCATAAGTCATAAGTTGGTTGTTTACCCATAAAATGGTACAATTGAATTTATAGCGTGGTATATAGACAAGCGAATCGACTTGATCCCAAAATGATAAATAAATAAAATAAAATGCAAGAATTAGATTTGAAACCGAGATAAGATAACTGACAGCTTGGTTCCGGGAGCAAGGCTTCCGAAGGCGGTAATGAGAATATTGATAGACAGAAGATAAAGTATTATTTAGCTTAAAATACTGTGTAGCATAAGTTTGTCAGAAATTTCGTGTCTTACAATGGTTGTTGAAGTCACTATTTATAGCTAAACCTAAGAAATAAGGTCCTAGAATCATTCCGCTCTTAAATGACAATAATGAGGGCCATTGATGAATATGTAACGACAGACTATGAATGCCAAAATTCTCTATAACGAATTGTATATTTAATACTGAGGAATATTCTTCATTGAATGTCATCTCGTGGCAAATATTCATTTGCCCTCGTTAGCAGTGTTCCCTTCGGGATCTACCCGATGCCAACCGAATCTATTGTCCTTGGTCTTGGTGTCCACTCGCTTCGTCTTCCGCCTGTCCCCAGTTCCACGTTTCATTATGTTACTCAAGATTTAATGTGAACCGATTTTACCCTATACATATAGCCCTCCTGCTTTCGGGTGGCACATCTTTGTGTCACCGGGAAGTTGGTGAAGATTCCTTTCTTGGCAGAAAATTTTCTGACCCATTCTAAAAAGTTTTTGACGCTTGATTAGACACACGTATGTCCATATTTAATACCTCAAACATGTGTTGCTCGACGATTTAACAATATTTTTGCCGGTTCTCGAGGGAATCATGACCACAATTTTAGCCGCCTATTCCTTTACTTATACGCCTCATTTTCCTTCTTTTAACAAACTCTCTTATCTTTGTATTCAACTCTTTCCCGCTTTCATCCTTTTTTAATCTTCTTCTTCAAAGAGCTTTTATCTCCTTTCGCTGATCATGGCTTCTTTCACTAACTCTCCCAAGAACTCCGGTTTTCTCCTTGGTGGGGGTCCAAAGGAGAACAAAGACAAAGAAGTCAACGTTGATGCCAATCCCCCAACGGTGAACACCTTCATCCCTGAATGACTCAACACAGCCAAGGACGTTGAGAAAAGTTTCCTTCTTCAAGTTCTCGCACTTGGGCTGTTGGTATATACCTTTCTTCCATTCGCCTTTCCAGCATTCCTACTGTGAAGGAGGATTGTGATTCTTACGACTTGAACATCATCGCTCCCGAACTGGTGGAGCGAGTAACCTTCACTAAGAAAGGCTTCATGTATATTTATACGTACCCATTCACTTTTGGTGCGTTTTCTTTGGGCGGGGGACTCGACCAGTGATTTTGGAGCTGTATCATAAATACAAGATTTGTTTGGCACAGGTGGGCCCTTCGGTGCGGCGAACGGTAATATGTTTACGGTGGCTGTGCCAAGAGACAAAGGAGGAGCTCACATTGCCTCGCATAATGAATCTCTACTCCCCAAGATTTTTCGTGGGGGAGTAATAACTTTTAGCAAACATGGCCACCATGCTTTGCTCACTAGCATGTATGACGACAACGATCGTGGATGGATGAAGTGGTTTGTCGTTGTTGCTACCAGGGATATCATCCCGGCCACAACTCTATCTTTCCCGAAGTCCTGGACTCGTACACGTAAGTTCAAAGTCTATCTTATTTTCTAAAAAAAGGTTTTTCCATGTTGTTGCCGATCTTTTTTATCTTATTATTTCAGCAACTCGGTGGACACCACCAAGGGTTGAAGGCTTGTACCAGGGGGTTTAGAAGATTCAGGACATCACCACGCCTAAGACCCGCCGATGGAAAGAACTGGCCCCCAAATACGAGTGGAAGGACAAAAATCATGGTAAGTTGACTCGTGAAACTGATTCTGTCTTCATTTCATTTTTGTGCATAAGAAAATTAGTTAACCTCTCTTTTTGTTGAATTCAGGTCTCTCGCGGGGCTCTGTTACCATCCCTGAGGAGGATGTTTTGGCTGATCCCGCAGAGGCTACGAGGTTGCTGAAGGAGGCTCTCACCCGAACATGCGCCATCGGATCTGCTTTCGGTGCAAGCGATTCCTCTCAGAGTCCCCGGCCGGAAAGCAAGCAACCAAAAAGGCAGCGTTCTTCCTCGGCCGAGGGCAAGAATAACAAGGTGAAGAAAGCCACGCCCGAGCCAGTCGCATTCATTGTGGTGATTGATAATGATGGGGAAGCCAGTGATGAAGGGGATTCCCTACAAAGGAGATAACGTCCATCATCAGCTCAACAAAATTCTCAATCTAAAAAGCTTACAAACCCATCCAAGGACGATGCTCAAGCGCTCTGGGAGAGTTTAACTTGGTGGAGAATGCCAACTCACCCTTCTCGGTCCAGCTGCTGCTCCCGGTATTGTGAGGCCGAGTACCATGCCTCTTCCATCTTTGGTTGGTGAGCAACCAACAACCAGCAATGCCTCCGCCGCAGCTGCTTCTCAATCCACAACACCATCAGCTTCATCTCCTTCCATGCCGGCCACACCTTCATCACCAACAACTGCTACATCACCCCCACCGGCCGAAAACACTCGAGAGGAGGATGTCGCTCTTACCCAGTTCCCAGACTATGGGAATTTGGGGCACAATTATTCGGCCCCTTCTGCTGATCCCCGGAGGAGGAGGAGAGTCTCCCTCTCAATATCTACCGAGTGCCATTTGCTGTCCCGGCCGGTGGAACTTGCCAACTATCTGAAGCCGCTCGCTTCAGAAAGATAAGAAGAAAATACACTCTCTCTCGGGAGAGTGTCTTTTAAACAATGTCATGCATAATGCAACATCAATAACATACTTGTTCTTTTTATTGCTTGTTTCTTCTTTACTTGCTATGGCAGGATATCCAAAAAGGGTTTCTGCTTCACAGGCCAACTTCCTTGCTTCTAAGGGCCTTCAAAAGTTGATCCTCGATAAATAAAAGCTTAAGTTCGAGCGGAATCAACTGTTGGCCGAGAGGGCCAAGTTGCTGCTCGCCTCCCGGTGCTGGAAGCACAAGCTGTTGATGCTGCTGAGTTGGAGGCTCGGTTCCAGTAGAGGGAGCAGGAAGTTATGGCCCTCAGCCAAGAAGCCCCCCAGTTAAATGTACAGTTTCAAAAAGCCTAGGCTAAATGGTATGAGGTCCAAAATATGGTGTTTGCTGATGCCGAACGTGAGGTTACCTCCAATAAGCGAGTAAATAACTAGGAGGAAACCTTGAATTCCAAGACTGTAGAGGCTGCTGCGGCCGAGAGAAGCGTGCCCAGATAGAGGATCATGGAACATAATAAGGTTTATATAACCATTATCCGTGATCTTGATCTTAGCCTTAGCACCATGAGATCCGAGTGGGATGGCCTTTTGACCGAGGTTGATCGGCTTAAATCAAAACTCCAGCATCGAGCGAATTCCCTCATTATTGAAAAAAATACATTCTATGTATAGCATGAGGAGAAAAGCCTTATAAGAGGCCAAAGCGGGCGTCATTGATATTGATGCCAAAATTGCCAAGCCCGAGAGCTAGAGTCAATCGCTCGAAGATGCCTCCCGGTTCATCCTAATACAACTGACTCTTTTTGTTTCGATTTCGAGTCCTCGGGAACCGAGGAGGAACTTGAAGAGGATAATGATGAAGTCCAAGATTCCGAGCTGACGGCATATCCACCTACTTCTCCTGGGGGTGCAAATGCTTCTCTTCCCCCGAGTTCTAGGGATGTTGATGCTTCTCTTCCATCGAATTCTAGGGGTGATATAGTTTAGTTTTTTGCTTTCTGTTTTCTTTGTTGTTTTTTTTTCGTATTTTGGTACTTGTGCTACTTGGCACATTTGATATATAAAAGTTCTTTTTGTTTAAGAATTGCGCAAAGTTTACTTTTTTTGCGTCTAATTATGCAAGGCTTCTGGTGCATTTTCCCCCGATAGCATTGGGTTCGGGCATAGACTCTTCCGGAACCAATCCTATAATATGAGAGTTTCATTAGAGGGGCCCCTATTATGTTTACAATGCTCTTGAAGAGGACGTCTCCTGTTCATTCCGGCACTAGCATTTGAAGTACTTCATCAACTTTCAAATGATAAAATCAATTCATCGTTTGGACAAGAAACAAGATAAAAATAAAAGGACT